ATTCCTTACTATCACTCCATTTAATCAGTTTCTTTTCACCTTAATATGAATACTCTTTGTTGTTAATGTGTCTTATTTACTACGAATTATGAAACTGGTTGAAGGACTGCCGTTGAAATAATTTATGTAAACACTAATTCAATACAACTATACTATGATTACGTTACTCGTTTTTATTGTCCTATTTACACTGATCTTTCCCTACTGTCACAAACCGATACAACAATTCAGTGGTGCAAAATAAAACATTTCCAAATTTAGGTGTTATTTCCGCGTTACCTTTGTCCTAATTTTCATTTTGGAGTGTTGAATTTTTACTAAAACAATTTTGTTGCTCTTTTTCAGTTTTTTTTATCAAGAAAACAAAGTAAAAAGCTTGTTTTGATTATTAGGAATATTCACTTTTCTAAATGTTCAATGTGAAATTATTGAACGTTGAACCTATGACTAGTGGAAACCTTTTATGTTTTTATTCATAATGTACGGTTTTACATATTTGTATGTTAATAGATATATTTCTTCTATTTCACTGTGTGTGCAACATAGGTTTATATGTATTGAATAACGAATATTAATTATATTCTGTATACATATTCTACTGTGTACTATGAATATATATATAAAAATATAAGTGGACGATAAACTAACACTTGCTTTTGCTATTTACCTGATATGAGTATTGTTAATAAACCTAATAAATGTTTTATTCGTTTTAAACAGTTATAACATCATAGGAAGAGATCAAATGACCTGTAACGACTAGAAGACTGAAAGAACTCAGATGACCGTTATTTGGTGACTAGTTAAAGTAAAGTTATTTCATAACACTAAAAATACCTTATCTTTAGTCAAGTGCATATAGGATTCTTACGAAAATGCTAAAGTTTGTCTAAGGGTACCGTAAAGATAAAAATGATATCGTATCACAGTTCATTAGTGTGCCGACTGCACTACTACTTAGTTCTAACAATATTTAAATGCTATCAAGAACCAACTACGTATTTTTGAACATAATGCTAGAGACAGGTCGTTTCATGATGTAAAGCACCAGAAACAATGGTTCGGATAATTCTAAAATTTACTGATATGTACTGACCGATATATCCCTTTTAAAGAAGGGCAATGAAAAGATTGACAGTACTTTACAATTACCCCATTTAAAGAGTAGTATTTGTTTGTTGCAACAAAATAATAAACAATCTTAGAGGAGAATCATATAAATGAATTCGTGATTATTCACAATCTACAATGAACAAGATATTTAGTCTAAACAGCATTCCAGTTCAACCCGATATGGCAGCTAAACTAGGCACAGAGATGAATGGAAGTGAGGTTGGATTGGTCCAACAATTACAACTCACACCGAATGAACAAGGTAAACGAGTAGATAGCTTCATGAAATGTGTGCTCCTTCATGATTGGCTAAATCATTATTTTGCATAAATTAACATACTGTAAGAGCATAAACACAAAAGATTATCATCAATTACAAATAGTTTATGTACTAACAAACTTTATTACCCGAACCTCACATTTTTATCTTAATAATCGAAAGGTAGGAGAATTGTTGATCAGATTAGGGAAATTACATGGAAGCGTATAATATGTATACCCGATGGGTATAGATGGTCACACAAAAGTCAGCGTTATAACCGCAAACAACACCCAAAAAGGATCCCATTTATAAGCATCCTGCAAAATAAATATTGGTCATTCATACAAAATTTTCAGTAACACCGTAATGGCAACAAATCAAGGAAGTATTGCCTAGATAATTAAAGATTTAGTTTAACTTTATCTGTTCGGTCCCAGAATTAACCCTAAACGAGCCGACTGTAAATGATAATCATTATATCCATCAAAAGCTTTGAATGATTTACAAATACCAAATATTCTCTTTTTGTCAGATCTCAGGGCATAGGCATACTTCGCGACCGATGATTGCTGTATTCATTAACCTTAAGGTGCGAATCCACATTATTATTCGGGAGACTGTGTGGCAGTGTATGTCACTAAAATACGTCAGTCAGCTACAAAGTAGGACCAGGCACATATACACGTCGGCCCAAGTTGCCACACCTCATTAGCACAAGATGAACACCGAATTCATAGAAGTAGTTACTTCAGTGGTGGTAATATATAAAAAAAGATAACATATAAGGATATAACACAGAAAGGATTAATTCGTAGAAAGTAAGGTACCAAGTAATTCTAATCTCACGGTTTAATAAAAGACAAGAGTGTATACACCTAAACCGTTGTGATAGATTCTGAACCATGTCACCAAGAGTCTCCAACCATTGGTCACGATAGTCGCGCGGACCACAACCAAGTAGTGTGCATCTACCAACATGGCTCAGGCCAGAAGTTAGTGACCTCAAGTACTGATTGGACGTTTTGGTTTGGCCACCCCTAACTTCCTTCCAACCGTCTCCAACACCAGTCAGCATTGTGGTAATCAGTGTTCAGGCACACGTAACACGTGATCCAACCATCTCAGTCGATGAAGATTCAATCTCATCAACTGATTTAACATCGTCCCCTAATACTCTGCGTCTAACCTCACTTTTACTTACACGTTGATACCAGCTGATGCTGGCAATACTTTTAAGATATATTTGATCAAATAATAGTAACTTAGGAGTATCTTATACTTTAAATGGCCACGTTTCGCATCCGTAAATTAGAACAGAACGAATTGCCGTGCAGTATACCTTTTGCTTACGTTGTTGCTCCTCGTGGAGGAGCATAGGCCGCTCACTAGTACTCTCCATCCAACCCTGGCCTGGGCAATCCTTCCCATTTGTTATTCATCCTTTTAAGATCCGCTTCTATTTCCTGACGTAATGTGTCCTTTGACCTTCCCGTTTTCCGCTTCCCTTAAGGATTCCGAGTTAGGGTTTGCCTCGTGATGCAGTTTGATGATTTGCGTAATGTCCTATCCATTTCCATCTTCTTTTCCTAATGTCCTCTTCAGCTGGAAGCTGGTTTGTTCTCTTCCACAGTAGGCTGTTACTGATGGTATCCGGTCAATGGATGTTGAGTATCTTGCATAGACAACCATTTATAAATACTTGTACCTTCTTGATGATGGTAGTGGTAGTTCTCTAAGTTTCAGCTCCGTATAGTAGAACTGTCTTTACGTTCGTATTGAAGATCCTGACTTTGATATTGATTGGATGTTGTTTTGAGTTCCGGCGGAAACTTGCCGCGCAATATGCTCATCCCTTAATTGATAGATGGATATCTCGCCTTCGCCATAGGTGACGTAATTTGGCAAAAGCCAAATTAGCTTTTTCAGTCCATGCAGATTTCGTCAGACATCAACCCGTTAGGGCTCACTAAAAATATACACCAAACGTGTACACTCTCCAGATGGAAAGTACTGGCCAAGTCACAGCTTATGGCAAACTGTTATCAGGATTATCTATTTTAAGATGTGGTCGTCACTGCTGTATCCACTCATATTTAACTTAGTCACAAGTATTGTTGTAGAGAAAAATCTCATATCACTTTTCAGGGTTTAATCCATTACCGGTAGACTCATTGATTTAGAATACTCAGACGATATAATTCTATTTGGCGAAGACGCTGACAAAATGCAGCAGTCCTAACATGTCTGACATGCGATTCTCCACTTCAGGTCTGAGCGCCTGAATTAATGATAGAGTGAAATAGTTGAGTTCGTCAACCACTCCACTTATCTTGGGAGTTTCATCAGTCTTGATGGTCTAGTCTGACGAAATCAGGGCACGGATCCAAAACGTTAGACTGGTTTTTGCAAACATGCACTACTCGTGGCGTAGGAGACATGTCTGCCAACCAAAGTTTACTGCACCGCAGTTCGTTTTCTTTCAGTTTTATGGATGTAAAACATGGCCATTAAGAGTAGAAGATATTCGCAGGTTATTAGTATTCGATCACACGTGTCTTTGAAGCATCGCCCGCATAATTTGAGACGACTGAGTAAGCAATCCCAAAGTTAGGAATATGGTACTAGGTAGAGGCGGTAAATCGATTGAAGGTAGTAAATCTTCATTAACTGAGGTGATTGGAACACGAATTACGTATGCTTGCCCCCCTCACAACCTCGACGGGGGATGCTATCTGATGCAGGAGTAGACTGAAAGAAAGCCAGGTGCACCCAAGTCCATGACGTCACTGACAACCGAACTGAGCCATGTCAGTAGATGCAGACTACTTGGTTGTGGTTCATGTGATTATCGTAACCAATGGTTAGAGGCTTCGTGTGACTTGGTTCAGGATTGTTTGAAGTGACACAGGTGTGTTCACTCTTTATATTCCTCCAGTCCATGATTCCCAAAATTTCCTTATATATTTTCTTCCTTTCTCCATACCTGATCTTTTCCACTACTACTGCTCTGAAATTTTTCTTGATAACTTTATCTCGCTGTGCTAATGTGGTGTGGCAACCTGAACCGATACACTGATGTGTTAAATTCTAGTTTCACATGGCTGACTGACAGAAATCAAACACAAATCCAATCCGTAACCCTAACCAAGAACAATGTGGGAAACTCTTTTGTGTTCGTACAAGAACTCAGGAAGACAGATTTTCCATAGACAATCATCTTTGTCATTTTTTCTTAAAAATCTATGGAAGACTTCAGTAGATTCATTATGTAAAATCTTCCTAACATTCTTGTTCTTCCCTATAGACTATTCAACTGAAACAAATGTTAGCTGATTAGCTAGAAACGAGCTAAAATTCGTCCCGATTATTTCAAGAATTGCCAAGCCCATCACTCACTAAATTCTTATGAAATATCATTTATAATTCACATAAAACTTGGACAGTCATCCAACACTTACAAATTAAAATACCTTTTGGTATGAGATCAGAACACAAAACAATTAATTAACATGAAGAAATAGCTATACACAAAGAATAATATGAAATATAAATACAAATACCCAGCTATCAGTTTACTTTGTACACAAACACAATATTTGATTGGGTTCAGATAAATATTAGTGATTTATAACTTAATAATAAGTTCACCGAATTCTATAGTATTGTCATAAAATGAACAACAAACTACAGTTGATTTCATAAAATTACTTTCCAACTGGTTAATTTTATGATTGAATGACCAGTCAATACCATAGGCTAATTGTCCATTGGTCGAACGAAATTTATATACAGAATCCTCTTCATCTGCTTTGTGATTAAAAGGTGAACGTAATGGTAGGTGTGCAACAGCGAAACCATCATGTATTGCACTGACTATAACATAATTTTGTGGACCCCATTTATGACGCCAAACTCCACCATTGAACTGACATTTCTGTAAAGGAGTAGTGGTAGTATTGGTGACCTTGTCAGAAGAATGAATCATACGTAAATCCCATAAATACAAAGTATCATCGTAACTGTGAAAGTGTACATATATATTGGAAAACAAAGCGAAAATTAGTTAATGATAATGATAATAATATCTGATTAAATATAATATTGATATTAGCTACAAGAAAAAGATAATCCTTTAAACTATGGAGTTTATTATCATTGTCTAAGTTCAAAAAACATCGATACTTCAGACTGACAAAACTGAAATGTACCGTAACTAAATGTAATCATTAGTAGAGTTCAGGTAGAAATTTTTAATACATAGTATTGACAGATAAGGTGGGATTATTCTATTAATTCATGTACCAGGCTTTTGGTCACACTCTAAATATGTGAGCTAGATGATACCAAGTGGTCATCTAAACAGAAATAAGTGGAGTTGAATTTAAACCTGCGACTCAGTGTCAGAGAATTGAACCTATGAACCAGTGATTTAATATTCCATATTATGATGAAACACGAATCGTGCAAGTACGAGTTTGACTGTTTTGTATCATGAAATAATAAAATTCGGAAAGTTCTACTTACACGAAAGTCCAACCTAGTAGTTAGACAGGAATGTGATAACCCTAGAAATCCAATCTGATTTCGGAAAGTCTAGTTTGTTAGAACATAATAATATACATACATATATTCAAGAGTATTGTAAGTTCTAAAGTTATTATCTTCGTCAATTCAGACCAGAGAGAAACTTTATCCATAAATCAACTAAAAACATAATTTCATAAAATAACACTTTTTTCTTCTTTGACAGATAACTCCTGTCCGTTCGGAGAATGTAATAATCACAAAGAACATTTATTACTTACGTTTAACAATAACATGGTCAGAATTTTTAATTTTATATTCAATTTGCCGAAAAATTTCATGTTTGGCTGAATTTAATCAACTGTTTTATAATATTATCATACAATAATGATACTCATAATGTAGAAATGATTATCATGTTTCTCCTTTCAAATAAACATGTTTCAATAAGAATTAATAAAAATAATGTATCCCAATGAGTAGAAAAATTAAATTTTTTGACGTTTCGTGACTCAGTGTAAGCCACTTCTTCAGAGAATGAATAATCAAATCCAATTAACCGAAGTTTCAATAGTACAAAGGAATATTCAGTGCGATCAAAAAACAGTTCTAACCCAGTCAATGTCATGTCATTTCGGTCAAGGTGATTTATGTGAGGCATGTTTTTACATTTCTATATGTTAAAGGATGAAAAATATGACTTTTTGGTGTGAAAAGATAGAGTTGAATTTGTGTGATAATGCCGTGAGAAGTGAGTAGAATCAGATATTGTAGCTCGAACAGATGGTCCAAGTCGGATGAATAGTGAGGCCTTCTTTTCTATTGAAAGGAGTAGGGTTAAGCAATATACGGAGAGCTTCAGTTACTCGTCTTTCATTGTAGTTGGGAAAGCCTTTTTATATTGTTTTAATGTTTTTAATATCGACTTGGTTGTTGAAAATTGCATGAACTGCTATTGCCGATTTAATTTGGAGTCTTTCCAGCTCTACGGGATTATTATTTGATTCCCTTGTGTACCTAAGATGTTGTTTGGCTCGAGTGAAGATCCCACGAGATGACTACTTAATAAAGACTGCGTCACAATCGACACATCTTAATTTGTAGATATAATTCTGAGTTGAAATAAAGGGGACTTTTTCCTTTAGGCTAACTAAAGCGTTTCGAAGGGTGTTTTATCTATTCATTTATTTGAACACAAAGATTGGTACAAAGGGGCACCGAATACATATGCGCCACACAAGTCACTTGATTTGTGTGTATGCTGTGATATTGCCCGGGTGCACAGATAGAAGCAGGTGGTTTTCTGTGGTGTCTTAAGACTTATGGAGTTTTTCTGTTGTACCACGGCGATATGGTAAAACTACAGTACCAATGAGTCAGCCAGTCAGTAACAACGTAGAACTTCGTACGTACGTACATCAGTTCGAGTTGCCACACCACATTAGCACAGAGATGCAGTGGTCGATTGAAACCCCGTAGTGCTAGATGTAGTAAAATTATAAGCTGTGATCAGAAAAATAGGGTTTGAAGATGCTATTCAGGGAGTATAATCCAGAGAAATGAATTTGGAAAGAGAAAAAAGAAAGGGACATGAAGAATTCAGAAGATTAGAGTTTGGGAGAACACAAAGAGTGGATGCACCTGCGCCATTGCAAACGATTTTGAGCCATGTCATTCAGGGTCTCTAACCATCGGTTGTTATCATCTCGTGGTCCCCAACCAGGTAGTCTACACCTACCAACATGACTCAGTCCACTTGTCAGTGACTTCGTGGACTTGTGCCATGTTTTGGTTTCGCCGCCTCTAGCTTTTTTCCAACCTACTCCTATACCACTGAACATCGCACGTCGAGGCAGTCGGTCGTTGGGCATACGGAACACATGTCCCAGTCATCTCAACTGATGAAATTTCACCACTTCATCAATCGATTTGCCATCCTTACCTAGTACCCGTTCCCTATTAACTGCATTACTTACTCGATGGTCCCAGGATATACGAGCAATCTTTCGAAGACACCTATGATCAAATACTAGTAGCCTACGGATATCCTCTACTCTTACCGGCCATGTTTCACTGCCATAAAGTAGGATGGAACGAACTGCTGCGCAGTAAACACGTCCTTTGGTCGATAGATGGATATCTCGCCTACGCCATAAATGACGCAAGTTGGCAAAAGCTAGTCGAGCCTTCCGTATCCGTGCTGAGATTTTGTCACACACCAGACCACAAGGGCTGATGAGACTTCCAAGATAAGTGAAGCGGTCGACACGCTCAATTACTTCACTCCCTATCATTAGTTCGGGTGTCAATGAAACCCAATCCTGAAGCAACATTTTGCATTTCGAGGGGGAGAATCGCATCCCGAACATGCTTGCATTGTTGCTTAGTGTGGTCAGAAGACTGCATTTTGTCAGAGTCTTCACCAAATAAAACTATGTCACCAGCATATTCTAAGTCAACAAGTGAATCACCTGGTAGAAGTTCAACCCCTGGAAATTTAGATGAGGAAAGTGTTATCCTTAAAGGTACGTCAATGACAAAGTTAAACAAAAATGGACAGAGTGGGCAGCCCTGACGAACACCACTTGAGGTAATCAATTCTGATGACAGTTCGCCATAAGCTCTCACTCGACCAGTTGTGTTCGATTAGAGAGCCTTTACAACGTTGATGTACTTCTTTGGTACTCCTTTCAATGACAAACACTGCCATAGAACCTCACGATCAACAGAGTCAAATGCCGCCTGAAGGTCGAGAAATACTACGATTGTGGGGCGCCTGAACGAGTGTCTGTGTTCTAGAACCTAACGTAGTGTGAATATCTAGTCTACACAACCACGTCCAGGTCGAAAACCAGCCCGATTTTCTCTAGTCTGCTCTTCACGAGCTTTAGTTAGGCGTCGAAGTATTATTGAAGCTAATATTTTAGACACTGTATTAGTCAAACTGATTCCTGTGTGATTGTCACAAGAGGACTTTTGTCCTTTTTTATTGACTGGCACAATCAGTGATTGAGACCAGTCAGATGGGATTACGTCCAGTTCCCAAATTCTACCTAAGACCTCAGTCAATCTCGCTGCTAATACTGAACCACCATCCTTAAAAATCTCAGGAGTAAACCTGTCAGGGCCTGCTGCTCTCCCTCGCTTCAGATTTCCTATGGCTTTTTCAACTTCGTGAAGAGACGGAGGACCTACATTAACTTGCCATTCAGGTTAACTGGAGATCGTGGGAAACCGAAATGTGGCTGAAGGCCAGTTGAACTGATCCCTAAAGTGTTCTGCCCATCGATCCAATCTCCTGGATTGAGAATGTATAATATGTCCATCTTTCTCTAAGATTGTTTCGCTAACAGTCGGGTTCCTAATTCCGGTTTCCCTAACGACTTTGAACAATTGTCTGCTATTACCTATTGCCGCTGCCTTTTCCATCTCTCTTGCTTTCGTTACCCACCACTGTTTACGATCATTGCGTAGGCTTCTTGTCAGCTTGCGCTTAAGCTGACTCCGCTCTTTGTTATGCTCAGAACCAGATGGAATGAGTTTTTGAGCATCTATCAGTGCGGTAGATGCTGCTGAGATTCAGTGTTTCTCCCTAACCTTACGGGTTACCATACTAGCAGATATCACTGCTGTTTCCACAGCTTTTCGGATATCATTCCATGCTGCCTCGGGGTGGGTATCACATATATGGCTGCCTAACAGTTTTCCTAGTTGTTCCTGAACTATACTCTCAGCATGACTATCATTAAGTAGGGTCCTAAGAGGTTTCCTTGCAGCGTCTTTCCTACATCCAGCAAGACGCAGACAAATACTCACCCGAGCATAATCTGAATCTAAGCATGTCCTCCAGAATGAGCGGTAGTCTTCTATTGAGCCCCTCCATCGGTGGCTGATAGCGATGTGATCTATTTGGGTCCAACGTTGGGACGAATTAGGGGGTCGCCATGTTAAAAGATGTTTTTCTTTATGCTTAAAGTTATTATTTGCAAGAAACAGGCGGTTATTTGAGCATAGCTGCAACAGACGGTCATCATTATCTGTTCTTTGAGCCACGACGCTATAAGATCCACCTAGGTGTCTTTCCCTTTTGCTTAGTTTACCTACTTGAGCATTAAAGTCACCAGCCACTATTACTACATCAGAGCACCTAGATTTTCGGAGAAGATCAGAGAGCTTTCTGTAAAACTCATCTTTTACATCATCCGAGCTGCAGTCAGTGGGAGAATAGGTAGAGGCAACGACGAGTGTCCCTATCTTTCCGAGTCCTTACTGTTCCGTTTAGTTGGACAGCGCACAAACTACTGTCTACTGGGATCCAGTCTAAGAGAGCTAGTTCTGCCTTAGGACTCAATGCCATACCTACGCCGGCCAGTCCACGAGAAGCAGCATCTGGGCTTTCAGATACACGAATTGTGAATCGAGTTGGTTCTTTGTTTTGACATGATGATGTCAAATGAATGACGCTACTCGGATCCTGTATGCGCGTTTCGGAGATGCAGTACACATAGATGGCGCGAGATTCTAAAGTCCTAGCTAAGGAAGCCTGTTGCCCTGTTTGGCATAATGTTCGGACGTTAAAAGCTGCTACACGTAGTTTACAGCGTGGTTTCAGGAGACCAGGAATAACGTTCCACGTACTCAAATCGTTTGCCCTAGCGGTGCGAGGTGAAAAAAGGACGTGAGAAGGGTTAGTCGTGGAGATAACAGAGTTATTAGGAGGCGTAGGAAGGATTTGAATGTGACCAACTTGGTCTCGTGTGCTGTTACGGGTATGAGGGCTGATATCACTTCCCGGCTGCCCACACTGTGGAAGGGTATTTCTTGAGGAACCTGAAAAGGAAGATGGATTAATGTCGGCCTTAACGGCTCGGGAGCGTGACCGTAAAACCCAAGGGACAACTGCTTGAGGCCGGTCGCGCACGGCCTTTTTGTGGGAGGTTTTTGACGTGTTAGCTCCGTCCTTCAAAGGACCTTACCACCGGAGACGGAAATCCGTGAGGTAAGGTGTGGTGTGACATTTTTAGGGTCCACCTTTTCTAACCCCTTTCTTCCTTGTGAGAAGGCAGCATCACTGTAGATGCTGGTTGTCCGAGGGAAACACCTCACTGCTGTCACATCCCTCTACAGTCAGCAGTACGACTTCGCCCTCAGACCTTAAGTTGCTGCTTTTAGTGTTACCGTTCTCCAACCAACCTGCCTGGCATGGTAGGACCTACAGGAACATATGTTCCAGCCAATATAGCTCAGTCGGGTCATCGCGATAGGCAAGCCCGACCACCGCGTCAAGGCAGCAGCTACGGTCGGGACAATACCAATCCATGGTATACCATTCGGACTAATACTTAGCAGTAACGCGTTTCGCTTTATGGCACTTTTAATAATCTTTATATGAAAATTACATAACTGTAAAGTGTTAATTACATGCTTTCGTTCATTTTGTTTATCCTCTTAAGATGTAATAATCATGTTTGTACTTCTTAAGACATTTATGGCTAGAACTTTTTGCACTGAATGGATGTCCTGAATTGAAATCGATAAAACGATTTGAGTGCGTTGGTTTTCGATAGATGGTTAGATTTAGAGCTCCAATTAGATTTCTTCTAACTAAGTAATCTGAAAATGGTAGCTCACCATGTTCATTTCCATTCTCGTACGTAAATTTAATGTGGGATGAGAGTGTATTAAACAATTTAGAAAAAGATCTTAAGTGAGTCTTTTTTATGACAGAAAAGTATCATCTACATATCTGAAGCAAGTTCGTAGTTTAATGTCATTGGCGAAAATATTTGATTCTTTGTGTGACATAAACAGGTTGCCTAAAATCGGGGACACGGGGGATCTCAATGCTACTCCGTTTTTTGCTTACATAATGTCCCGTTAAAAGTTAATAGAGTTGAATTGCAGTAAATTTTTTAGGGACTTCATGATGAGACTGATAAAAAAGACATCTATCAGATAAGAATTAGCCTATTATAGGATTTCTAGAATTTTTTTCCCACTTATTGAGTACTCCATAGCCAACATGCAAACTGGCATATATATAAAATTATTAAAACTAGTGTCAGAGTAGGAGCAACAGCATCGATAGTAGTAGTAGTGGTAGTAGTAAAATACGGTAACGACAGACAATGTGACTGGACAGTAGTGAATAAATTCGAGAAATAAGTATGGGATAATTTTGGAACTCAGAATCTAAGAGAAGACAAATAGTGAATGAATCTGCACTAATGTGACCGATTCCGGACTATTTAATCCAACGTCTCCTAACATTAGTTACAACAATCGTGCAGACTCCAACCAGGCAGACTAAATCTACCTATATCACTCAGACGAACAATCAGTAACTTCATGGGCTTCCATCCCACGTCCTGATTTGACTGCCTCTAGCTTCCTTCGAACCTACTCCTACATCAGTAAACATCCCTCACTGAGGTGAGGTAGTGGTTGGATATGCGTAACACATGACCCAACCGCCTCAGTTGATGAAGATTCACTGGCTTATTAATCAGTTTGCCATACTTACCTACTATTCTATGCATTACCTTAGTACTGGTCACTTAATGGTCCCAACGTACGCGAGCAATGCTTTAAATGGGTCGATGATCAAATTTATTTATTTTATTTGAACACATATATACTGGTAGTAATACAACTCACAAAGTACAGACTCCCCCTGTCACACTCTGTGTCGAGGCTAGTAATACGACCTGGTTGCCGAAAACAAAGTAGGTGAAGTCGGATTCGTATATCTGACCTGGTGACTGAAAGTTGGACGCTATCTGTTTAACACAAATGACCTATGAATATACTGCTTCTGAAGACTACCTTTGATATCTTAAAGGTAGAACAGAACGAATATATTCTGTTACTTAATAAGTATCCAGAATTGTATTTCTCTTTGTAAAGAAAAGAAAAACTAACCTTCCGGTAGAAATGGAATAATCTACGTCAGGATAATTTTGAATGCTGCAAACACCCACACTATGTCTGAAAGTAGAGTCAAACAAGAAAAAGATATGAAAGAGCCGTTAGTTTAATAACTTTTCAACTGAAATCTAAATCACGTGGAGTAAAATAATTCGTATAATAACTGAAGGAAGAAAACTCTATATTCGGTAGTTGTCTAGATCCAGTTAGGAAATCTTTAGTGATATATTTAACAGTTTAACTGTGTATTTTATAATTCAATGTGAGCCTCTTTTTCAAATTCATTTGGAAACTAATCATTGAAACTTTGTAAACTTTATACTAAATTCAGTCACTAAATGACAATATACGATTACGCATTTTGCTGGTATATAGAGAACTTTTATTGTTACGAAAATAATATTCAAGATTATTTGTGATTAGGACCAAAAAGTAATAGGTATTTGTTTTTTCCTAACATTTTTGGAGGGGATATCGGTTAAACAGTTACGAGAATCTTACAAAACCTGAAGATCTTGAGTTTTGAAGAATAAGACGAAAACAGGCTGGTCATAGCGTCAGTACAAGCCAATATTTCTTAATAATTTATCGGGTCAGTAAGTTTTTGCCAGTCTATCTGATTCAAAGTCCTTTAGACGGTAGAAGCAATAGCCATTCAGAGTAAAAAAAAGTGGAGCCACATATTCAAAAGAAATATGTCTAACTGCTTTTCTTACTTTGGCTAACTTCAGGACCACCTAATTAATAGTAACCTCGATCATTGAGTAATGTAGTTTGACTAAAGTAAAACCTTAATCAAATATAATTGCCTTTGTTATCCTTATTCACATAGCTTTGTTTTGTTATCAGTAGTATTAGTATTGTTGTTTCGACATTACTAACACGATTAATCTACTCAGCACTCACCCTATGTTATTATTTCGTAGACTTAATATCACTTCCACCAAACACTTAGTCAAATTTGTAGTTCCATTATTTTCTTCACCCTATCTGACCTACATTTATTCTGATCATCAATTCCACAATTTCATATAACGTATAGGCTTATTCACGGGCTTGAACCTCGTTACATCTAGTTTGAATTCAGCTGCCGAATAGGATAACAGATTTACTCAGTGACTACATATTTATGTATTCGGCTTTTAATGACAATGTTTTAAGAATGAATCTACCTGGCTTCACAAAACTGAAATAACGGGGTACCCAGTAGTTGAAGAAGTCGAATACCACCGTGTCATAATTAACTACATACAAAAAGAGTAGATTATTATACAGTACAAGAATATACATTTGGTTACTACTAGACGAAGTTACTAAAATTATACAAACCCTTCATTAAGTGAATACATTTGACTTGATATGCATCAATTTGACGTCCTCTAACATATTTCGGAATAGGATTAGCTTAAAACTATCAGACTCAGTGTTACTGATCCAATCAGGTGATCAATATCAAATAACAAAGACTTTCAACATGTTTAAAGTTAATCAATCATGTAATGGCAACGTAGTTGGCAAAACATACAACCACATATTTTTTTTAAAAATTCAAAAAATCCAGTGATAATAAACGTACAGAAGTTATAACAGCACATTTATTTAACATAATCACATGTCTTAGAAGTATTGCCAGCATCAGCTGGTATCAACGTGTAAGTAAAAGTGAGGTTAGACGCAGAGTATTAGGGGACGATGTTAAATCAGTTGATGAGATTGAATCTTCATCGACTGAGATGGTTGGATCACGTGTTACGTGTGCCTGAACACTGATTACCACAATGCTGACTAGTGTTGGAGACGGTTGGAAGGAAGTTAGGGGTGGCCAAACCAAAACGTCCAATCAGTACTTGAGGTCACTAACTTCTGGCCTGAGCCATGTTGGTAGATGCACACTACTTGGTTGTGGTCCGCGCGACTATCGTGACCAATGGTTGGAGACTCTTGGTGACATGGTTCAGAATCTATCACAACGGTTTAGGTGTATACACTCTTGTCTTTTATTAAACCGTGAGATTAGAATTACTTGGTACCTTACTTTCTACGAATTAATCCTTTCTGTGTTATATCCTTATATGTTATCTTTTTTTATATATTACCACCACTGAAGTAACTACTTCTATGAATTCGGTGTTCATCTTGTGCTAATGAGGTGTGGCAACTTGGGCCGACGTGTATATGTGCCTGGTCCTACGTTGTAGGTGACTGACTGGCATTTAAAATATTCATCTTGAAGATATTTGCAAACATAATCAAAGCCTTCAACAAAGCAAGAATAGACTGACAGCATTAACCAACCAAGCTGAAAACATTTTCTACGATACTTAAAATTTTCTAGAAACTGAAAATTTGCATACTAAAATACTTGTACTTAGTCTAGTCATTGAAATGAACTAGAAGCACAACTGACTTTTACCTGATGATATTTAACGGCTTTTTACATCCTTCACGTAAATCCCAAACACAACATTTTGAATCATCACTACCTGTGAAGACTATTTCACTGTTCCATTTATTTAAACATGCACACCAAGCTTCAAACTCATGCCCAGGCCACTTATTAATTGATTGAGGATTTGAACAGGATGATGCGTCGATCTTCCACACACTAATATTCCCACCTGAATCACTGAAAACAAATCTGCAAGGATTTTCAGATTCACAGTATTTATTATTACTATTTTAACCTGACCTATCCGAACTCGTATCGACAGATAGTAGAATATGATCAGATACTGGAAAATCTATTAGTTCATTTAGCGACGGACCATCAATAGTACAGTTCCATAGTTTTGTTGAACCATTTGCCAATGCACCGATTGCGACATTACCATTTAGCCAACTTATATCTAATACACCAGAACACGATATATTACTCGATAAAACATACTGATAATCAGTTGAAACTCGACTGAATAACAGTAAGCCACCGAAACGCTCTTGAGTATCCTGAAAGAGTAAGACAAAACAAAAAGTAACACCACACTGTTCAGATCATAATGTTAAGTCTAGGTTTAGGAATAATGATTACTCATTGGGGACATTAACGAAGGAATATGATAAAATTTGGTGAACTGTTGAAACATACTCATCCAAAAGTAAAAATAACTAGATGGACTTCATAAAGGGTCACAGCCAAAATTAACATTAACTCCAACTTGTGACTATAGGTCAGTATAAGAATTACAGTAAAATCCTGGAATGACCACAACATGACACGTCACTCATGGGCAGTCTGAGATCCATATCCTGACGATCCAACTCTAATGTACTGGTTGAAACATTTGTTTCTTTCATTCGAACATACAAAGTAGGTCGGTTAAAAACCAATAATACTAACAGCAACAACTCAAAGTCTGAGGGCAAAATTTTATTGTTCACTGCACAGGGATGCGAAGGGACTAAGGTATTTCCATAAAACTACAATCAATAAAGACGCCCTGGTACGGCCGAGAGTGGTAAGAGTCATCTTCTCGAAATGCTCTCACATGACCACGTGTATACAGCTACTGCCAGGGATGTCCTACTTACTGCCTTCTCGCGGCGAGGGTGTTGTTTACCAACTTGAGAGAACGAAAAACGAATGTTCAGCGCTTTAACCTGGTTGGTGGACACAGAGAGTTTACCTAGGGGAGTTTGGAAACCCTGATTACAAACCAATGGTGCACATGAGCTCCAGTATTCTGAAGGAAAAAAAATGGTGTATGAACCAATCGTTGGTCACTGGTTACCATGAGACTGCGTCTCCTTACGTTCCTACACTGCCTTGTGGATCAGACCTTTAGGTCGAAGGCTCTGGGTGTGACCCCCTAAGAAAACCACCTGCTCCGATCTGGGCACCCGGGCAGTATCATAGCACACACACAAACCAAGAGACCTATGTGGCGCATATGTATTCGGTGCCCCTTTGTACCAATCTTTGTGTTCGAATAAATAAATAAACTGCTGAGACGCCCTCTTCCCACAATGGGAGAGAGTTGGAAGTGGTCGGGGTTAGAAATGGTACGCCTCACCTCGACTTACGAAATCCCGTCGTTACCTGTAAGTCCCTCAAAGTATGGAGCTAGTACACTAATAATTACTCGCAAAAAGGATGTGTATGCACAGTCTCAGTAAGCTATCTGTGGCCACACGTCCAGGTCGCCAAGACCACTACTAACCCAGTCTTTTCTAGGTATTTCAATAGGTATCTCCTAACAGTATGGGCAACCATGGAGTGGCAACCACCAATAGTCCTAACAATACTTCTTCACCGTCAAATCCCCATACTTACTGGCTAAAACCCGCAAGACAGAGCGAAACTGAACAAAATCAATTACGACAACAAAATAGCATTTGCCATTATCCTACCAACGAGACACTGATTTCTTATTTTATCTACCTCTTTTCGCCTCTAGTTTTCTAGTGTCATTCTTTCGGTTACAATAATAAGATTTGAGAACAAAAGTCGATTAATTCGTCACTTTTGTTTATTTTAGTCAGTGATTATGGACGAGTCCTTGTCCTGAATTTCAAGGAAAAACGCATGCAATTAAAACACTGTTTCGATCCAGCAACAACCCACTATATTTCTGTGACAAAATATAGGTAAATAAGGCGTCTTCACCATAAAAAAGGACATAAGTGGTTAACTATAAAAATACAGAACCGGCATAAAAATATTGGTATATTAGCATAAATCTAAGAATTATCTACTCATCAATCAGTAAACCTAATGATGAGACTAACTTCTGGAAGAATCGATTAGATCTAATATAGCAGGTCTAGGATTTAGGTGCAAAATCCATTCATTCGTGTGGTTAAATAGCATTTTGACATTATAGCTTATGTCAGTTCATGAAACCCCAAATCCAACTGCAGACCTTAACCCTAATTCGTCACAAAAATTCATAACTCTCATTTAACCCTAGCACGTAGATGAACATTTAAAGTAACTTTTTAAAAGCCACTTCAGCGTCGATTAAACGTCATCTGTAATCTATAGTCTCACCAACTTTTTCATTTAATCTAAAAAACATTAACATACACTGTTTAGCTCATAACTGCCACACAGAGCCATTGATCCATCTGAGCAAAACTCAACTGTATCGGTGTGGTATTCAGCAACATATTTACTTTGTTCTTTCCAATGGAATTTCATCTCGAAATTGTCTACAAACTAAAACAATATGACTTACTGAATATATAAACCAAACTTTTGAATTCGATCAGATAATTAATTAAAAGTAGATTCATACAATGCAAGGGAACAATTCTATAAAGAGCTTCAGTTTGAATTTCAGAAGTACTACGTCCAGGAAATTAGGGAAGCAGAATGCTTTGAATAAATTTTGAAAGTAACAAGAACCACAGAGTAGGGATTTGAAGATCAATAATTGAGATTTACGTGAAAACCTGAACATAATTTTAGGGCCGATAAAAAAGGCTCTAAGCGACTAGATTTTAATTAAATTCATATCGAATCTAATTACACTAACTCGTGTCTTTTCCCGACATTCATCTCAGCGTTTAACTAATTACTTCAATAAAAATCACTTAGATAAGCTTCAAAAATATATTCCATACATTTCCAGAACAATCAGTCCAAAGACATCTTTTAACTGTCTTTAGTAAGAAACAAGGGCTCACCAACCAATCTGATATTATTTACCACTACGTGATGGTAAGTAACATGTGTAAAGATACTCACTTATTAAGACAGCGAACCAGAATCGGTATTCAGAGTTGAAAGATTAAGAATTTGAGTAACGGTTCTTTTCAGCTATAGCAACAGTTTCAGTTCCGGATTCACATATCAACGCTAAGTATGAGCGGTGTGGATGATTAGATCAAGAGACATGATAAGGTGAATGACTGGCTTACAGTTACACGCAAAAAAGTAGGGGAACAGAGTGAGACACTCAGGTCCGACCTCTGACAGTGAGATCCATTTGTTCAGTTTCTTACCTAGTAGGGCTGACAAATCAAACCCTAACGATGGTGGGACCATCATATACACGAAAGGTACCTTAACCATACGAGCTGTCGAGACAGTGGCACACGACTCAAGAACATGTGAACCGGTGGGTTGAAGGCCGGAATGGAAACAGCAAGAAGTTGAATTATTTGCAGCATAACGCAATTCAGAATGATTGGTGGATGACTTACTACTAAGCAAGCATAAATCTTGGTCGAACAGGTGTAAAAGCCACGTAGTAGGTGAGTTCATGCACCATCCATAATTTAAAACTTAGAAGCAGGGTCATCAAAATCTGGGGATCGCTGGATCTCTAAAGTGGGTTAAAATTTTTTGATAGGCCGTAGACAGAAGGTAAGAATGAATTTCAATTGCTCCACCCGGAAACGAGCATTTAGTGGAGTACCACAAGACTGTCCTAGGTCCTTTACCTTTTATACTGTATGTAAATGAACTCTCATGTATAGATGAGTCCCATATGCCACCACACGCTGATGACGTAAAAAATCTGACGAGAAATAACAAGAGACGCAGATTCATGTGCACTTCCAGTGGACTTATATGTTCTTATTAGGGGGCGGCCAGATCAAAATATGGCACAAGTCCATGAAGTCACTGACAAGTGGACTGAGTCATGTTGGTAGGTGTAGACTACCTGGTTGGGGACCACGAGATGATAACAACCGATGGTTAGAGACCCTGAATGACATGGCTCAAAATCGTTTGCAATGGCGCAGGTTCATCTACTCTTTATGTTCTCCCAAACTCTAATCTTCTGAATTCATGTCCCTTTCTTTTTTCTCTTTCCAAATTCATTTCTCTGGATTATACTCCCTGAATAGCATCTTCAAACCCTATTTTTCTGATCACAGCTTATAATTTTACTACATCTAGCACTACGGGGTTTCAATCGACCACTGCATCTCTGTGCTAATGTGGTGTGGCAACTCGAACTGATGTACGTACGTACGTACGAAGTTCTACGTTGTTACTGACTGACTGATTAGGCGGTCTAAAAGATGGATGATACCTATCAACGCGGCCAAGCGCCTACACGCATATTAGGAGTATAAAGGTAAATAGATGTAGCATATGAGAAGAGCCTGCGCCCATAGTCCGGTTTACGAGGATCTTCGGGTGATAGTGAGCCATCATCTTAAGACCACGGCCCACTGTTGTGAGGTCACACCTAAGCGGTTTAGAACCCTATGTGCTTTAAGTTGGACATTCACCAAGTTAGATACTACTATGTTCTCCAGAGTATACGCAACCCTAGTAAGAACTAAACTTGAAAACTGCGTTCAGGCTGCAGGCCCCTGTTTATAAGTTGACTCGGACATCCTGAAAACGTACAGAGAACAGTTACTCGTGCAATTCCGGAACTACGGAGCTTACCATACAAAGAGTGGTTTGAGAAGCCTGGCCTCTTTACTCCGTCCTACCACTTATTAAGAGGTGGTCTGATTTCGATGTGTGGAATACCAAGAATTCCATTTAAATGGTTTTTGACCCAACATATTTTGTTGAATTATGATTCCTTACTGTCAAGTGCGATGTCCCAAACCAACGGTATTGATACTAACTTTTATCTAAATTCGCATTATAAATGCCTTCTTAAAACATGTTTGTGACGTTGGATTCCTTTTTCTCCCTGCAGATTAACTCTATTACAAACAGAACTAGAAAATTCTCTGGAACTGAAGCCTACTCATGACACTATAAAATCTATAAAAATAAAAACGAGAAGCCAGGCCTCTTTACTCCGTCCTACCACTTATTAAGAGGTGGTCTGATTTCGATGTGTGGAATACCAAGAATTCTATTTAAATGGTTTTGGACCCCATATTATCCTCTTTTTCGTCGTACCAGATCGTGAAAACTCAGAGGACATAGTAGGCGAGTAGAAAAGCCAATAATGAAGGAAATACTAGTGGCATACTGGTTTCCAAACCGAGTTACCAATTCTTGGGACCTGTTACCCGATGCAGTGGTGTCCACACCTTCAATTGGCTCACTCAGGAAAAGACACTCACAGAATCATTCTCGGAAAGGAATAACATATGCTGTAAGCCTTCTGTTTTTACTACACAAATCTGAATTTTATCTGAATTAGTAACGTACAAGCAAATTCCCATTTAATATTTTCAACCGAAGTCAAATACCAAACATATCTATCACCAGTTAGTTTGATTTCTTTGCGCCCAATTCTTGTTTCTCCGGCACGGTTTCAAGTATTTATACTGTTCAATGGATGATAATCTAACCACTCGATTAGACTAATTCTTGTCAGTTCAGTAGTTATTTGTGCATTTGGATAGTTTGTAATCCAAGCGAGTGAGTTTGTCACAGAGTAGCAGGGTTTCTGTGTACCCATCAAGTGGTTTAAGACTATCACGTGGACGGGCAACTTTAGGTCCCAGCAGGTCGTCCAGCTGTCTCATACCATGAGGAACCTAAAAGTGAATGACGTCCCTTTATTAAGCTGCTGTGTACTTTATGGGGAATGCTATTTTTATTCATAAATCCCTTCATTTATTCATTGGTCATTCGTTCCATCAGATTCAGATTCAGATTTGTGTAGTAAGGACAGAAGGCCTACGGCCTATGTTATTCCTTTTCTAGTATGCTTCTATGAGTGTCCAGTCTTCTCTTGAAAGAGTCAATTGAAGGTGCGGATACCACTGCTTCAGGCAGCAGGTTCCAAGTATTGATGACTCGGTGTGAAAACCTGTATGCCAGAGGTATTTTGTTTGTTCTTGGCTTTTCTACTCGCCTACTATGTCCTCTGAGGTGTCCCGATCTAGTGGGAAGAAAGAGAGAGAATAAGTTAGGTCCGAAATCATTTCTCAGTATTCTGTACATCAATATTAGATCTCCCCTTAGTCTGCGATAGGACAGAGTAAAGAGGTTCAGTTTTTCAAGCCGCTCTTCATATGATAAACCCCGGAGTTCCGGAATCGCACGCGTAGCTGCCCTCTGTACCTTTTCTAGTATGTCTGAGTCACCTTTTAAACAGGGGCTTGCAGCCTGAACACAGTTCTCTAACTTAGTTCTCACTAAGGATGTGTATAATGTGGTGAACATGGTAGTATCAAGCTTAGTGAATGTCCTTTTTAAAGCCCAGAGGGTTCGAAACCCCTTAACTGCGACCTCCCGGCAATGGGCCGTCGTCTTAAGATCATTGCTCACGGTCACCCCTAGGTCCTTATGAGACCGGACTACGGGTAATGACACATCTCCTATGTTGTACGTATTAACCTTTGAATCCCCCAAGTGCATGTAGACACACTTTTCCGAGTTGATAGGCATTAGCCACTCTTTAGACCAGTTTATCATATTATTTAAGTCCGCCTGAAGAGTAAATGTGTCTGTGTCTCCAGTTATTACTCGCCAAATTTTTACACCGACATATTACGCGCAATGCGACTGGTCTGTAGCAGGACGAGTCTTTTCTATCCTCTTTTTTGAAGACTAGGGGGAGAACAGACTGTTTTCATTCCCTTTGCAGTTGATTTAAATCTAGTAAGCAACTGAATATGTCACACAGTGGCCTGCTAATAGCTATTGCTCACCGTTTCATGATTACAGTTTGGATGTTGTCAGGTTCCGATGTTTTCCCTGGTTCAGGGATCGTATTTTCTTCAGTACTAATTCTGGAGTTAGTTATATATTACCCAAACTATCAGCTGGCCCTAGAGTTGAGGAGTGTTCCTTGTAGGTTCCTGGTTTAACTGGTCGGTGTATTTAGCATTAGAGATCCCCCCAAAGCAGTAAGATCATTGCCATTTTTCCCGTTTGAAAGCATAGGGCCCCAGATTTATCGATTCCCTTCTGGCCGTGAATTTGAAGAAACATTTCGAATTAGTTTGTCTTTCGGTCGTTCGGTTGGGCAAGAAATATCTCCTATCTCTGAACTTTGAGCAACTTGCGAATTATGCGCCTCATACTTGGAACAAGGACTCACTGCTTGAATCCCATATTCCAGGTGCGGTCTCACGAAAGTCGGGTATAACACCCTAAAAGATCTACCAACAGCCCGTAGTTTCCACAAGCCTTTGGCAGAAGCAGTCTTGTAGTTGCTCGTAGTTTAAAGGTCGCTGCCTAATAGGACTCCTAAATTTTTATAGTCCATTACTATGTGTGACACTACTCGGCGTATTAAGTAGTGTTACGAACCATCATAA